ACAATCTTATCATAATCTTATCATTATAACACACGCCATCTACTCTCTGTTGATTATTTTAACAAAATAATATCACTCGTACGCAATGAGATATGTTATATTCGTATAGGATACATAACCGTCGTCACGACCCCCGTCACCACCTTCCTGCATAATACAAAATTGTTTATATTCGTATACCTATACGAAATATAATCGTCGGCGATCCCTATACCGATCTTATAAATATTACTTATACTCGTTATACATAGCAAAGATTCTTATATTCGTAAATAACAACATTCGTGCGAGGCAAGCGTGTACAAAGATTCGTACCATATCTTTCACATGCATATACCACGTATACAATTTCAACTATATTACGTGGCGTAACGCGGGTCCCGTTTCGAGAATCTAGTACGAAAAAATGTGCATATATATCGTCAGCAGCGTACACAGTGTGTTTCTTGCATGTAAGGACCTGTATGAGAAAATGTATTGTTCTCGGTTTTTCTGTTCGAACATGCACAAATTCTTTCTGCGAACGTAAACCGATTTTCGTAGATATTGGATCGATAACGATCCGATCGTCAGTAGTGATTTGACTTCAAACCAGTGCACTCGTCTCTTCCAGTTTTCTCAACGCTTTCGTTTTGTGTTAATTTTTTTAAATTCTTGTAATGCAACGTTTTTTTTTTTTTTTTTTTCCGTTTAAAAATGTTTGTATGTACATACGTCGGTATGCATAATAAATAATAAATACAAAAGTATTTTCCACGACTCGTCACGCTAAAACTCACGACGGTATTAAATTTCAATACTCTCTGTGCCCGAAAATGTTTACGCGTAATGACAAACATAACGAGCACGATAAAATTGTTCATTCCTGTGTCGCCGCCGTAACTATCGCCCCCATCGCCACCACTGGTCCTTTGATTGCCTTCAGCGGTCCGTCACACGGACGATCACTATGAACAAGTGACGATGAAAATGATGAATTATTCGTGGAATGTATGGAAAACAATGTTGATCAAGGTAAGTTTTTTTTATATCCCTCGGTACAATGAGCGATTTGGTTTTAATTTTTTTTTTCTCCGTAGGTAGAAAACGCGTGCATAAGACAACTACCGCAAAGCCGAAAAAAGCAAGGATGGATTTAGTGAACCCACGCGGATTTATTGAAATCGATTCTTCTTTCAACCGCAAAATCGTATGGTACTCACAAACATACAAAATTATAAACAGTTTCTCCTATCGATCAAACCCGCACTTATAGACCTACTCAAATCATTGGTACGAAATAATTCAATCAAATTTAATTTGAAATTGGAATCCAAAAAACAACCGCTCACCCATATATAATCGTGTACATGGGTCTCGAAGAAAGGTAAGACTACTCTCTCGGTTGTTTTTTTTTTTTTTTATCAAACCTATGCTAAACTAACCTAACCAAACCTAAACTAAACTAACCTAACATTGCAAAAAATACGATTTGGAAATTATGAGTAAAAAATATGAAAATCCTGTAGTTTTTCCACTACACACCACTATAATTAAATATCACACAATCCATATCATATCTACCTAGACACACGTGCGCGAGCATACACACACACATACACCATCGTAATACCTAAATGACTGTCCTCGGAAATAATATTTTATATTGGTCGTACTCATACACGAACGGTAGTCCAAGACAAGATTTGTTATATTTGTATACCTATATGAAATATAATAATAACAGCATTCGTGTGAGTCTACTTTTTCGTTTAGTCTGTTAGTTATGTAGATTTTTTGTTGTTTTTTTTTTATATGTTTGTTAAATAGATTTGTGTGTGTGTGTGTATGTATGTGTCAGTTATATAGATTTTTTCTTATAATCTGTTAATTTTTGTAGAATTTAGATTTAGATTAGAAACTGGAGCCACATATTACAAACATCCGGTCGACAATTCAGCCGAGAACAGAGCGTTCAAGACCTCGGCCAGGCAAATTTTTTTCGATAGCGAAACAGAAGACCTTGTGGATGAAAAATTTGCAAAATTTTTTTCCGAACAATAAATTTATCTGGGACGTGGTAGCGGTTTTTCACTACAGTGTATCGACGAACTTTTATTAGGTGATTACAATTACCAACCTATGGGTGGTTCATCGTTTATCCAGCTACCCCTCAGTATACAAAATAAAAGAGCCGTCATCAACCCGAAAAACATCGACGAGGAATGTTTTAAATGGGCAATATTAGCGAAGCATGTTACAGGAATAAACAGATACCGCGTTGGTTCAAATTATACCGAACACGAAAATAAATACAATTTCTCCGGGATAACGTTTCCAACCCCGCTTTCGGACATTAAAAAATTTGAAAAAAATAATTCGAACGTGTCCGTAAATGTTTACGGATTGAGAGAACAAAAAAAAATTAAAGGTTCAGTGTATACCGTTTTTCTACTTAAAGTAGTTAACGAAGAGAAGACGGGCCATTTTGATCTCCTAATAGTTACAAAAGAAGGCAAATCCCATTGTGCCTACATTTCTACCTTTTTTCGTCTCGTCAGATCTCAAAAAACTGCACATAATGGAGAAGTAATTTTCTGTAAACGATGTTTCACGGCTTTCGACAACCGTCCGAGGATGAAATTGAGTGGACAGGCGGCACTCGACCAACATAAATTAATTTGCGGCGAACATAAACCGATTATACCGAAAATGCCCGCACTCGGTTCCATGTTGAAATTTGAGGCGCGGGGTAAAACCCAAAGACATCCTATCATAATATACGCTGATTTCGAGGCGATTTTGAAAAAGACGGATGAGAAGAAAGGGCAAAACACAACAATATTACAAAATCATAAACC